AAATCATTTTCGTAATGCAATTTCATTTTAGTGTAAATTGCAGTATATTATTTCTTGCCTAAATACTAATGTAATATTTAATGAACTAATTAATGAATTTTTAATATTGCTAATTTTCCATGTTATTTAACTAATTTATTAAATTAGTTCATTGTTTTTTTTAAGTATTATTTTGCTTATAAAAAAATTTAAAATTGTTTTATCTGGCAATTGAAGTTAACTCTAAAAAAACTTTTTCCTCTTTCTGTAATGTTAAAGACTTTCTCGATATTTTTCTAAAACTCCCATCACTCAAAACACTAATTTTATTTGTACTTTAGTTTAATGATATTAAACCATTTTCATGGATAGAGAAGAAATTGAAATTCTTTTCATTAATAAATACATTTCTCATATATGTGAATATATAAATGCAGCCTGTTTCAGTAATGATAAATAAGTTTAATAATAAATTAAAATTTCCTTACTAAATTATATAAAAAAATTTACAAGCTGTTAAAACTCCAAATAACTAAGTGAGTTTTAATAAACCAAATATTTTTTTCAAACCAAACAAATAATTGTAAATAATTTATGCAACTCAAATTACAATACACACTTTAAAGAAAACGATTTTTTTAAAGTATAACCGATTATATGTAAAATACTTAAGTAATTGTTGTTAAAATTCCAGTAACTAAGATAAAATGTTTAAATCATTGCACATTTTATATATTTTAATTATTGAAACACTTGCACAATTGTTGGAAACCTTGCAAACAAGATATTTTTTTTCTTCAAAAAGATTTTCTATTTTTAATTAAATTCATCATTAATTTGATTCAAAGGATAATTTTTGCTATCATATCATTCGAAATCCAAATAAATGTCTGTAAACTCAAGGGAGTAAACTCGAGTTGCGTTGTAATTATAATGTTAGTAAATATTTAGGGAACCTGGACAGTAATGACGCTTCGGTGCATTCAATATTCGGCAGTCTTAAAAATCCATTTCTTTACGATCCGCAATTGAAGGGTTGTTGATAAGGAGGGTGAATAATTTTAATCAACAATAAAATCTGGATAACTGCTAAGCTGCGCACTATAAAGAAAAAAAACTAAAAAATATCCTATGCTTATTTTATATACTATTTCCAATTTTGAAAATTTTTCTTTTAAAAGCATTTTTGATGTTATTTTATTCTTACACAAAAGGTGTGCATAATCGTGGTACCTTTTCTTATATCAAAGCATTTTTATGTTGTAATCATTAGTTCAAATTCTTGTCAGTTTGTTTCGATGAAAAAGAAAAGCAGAACTACGTTCTTTTACTAATAGATAGGGAGAGAAAGTGATGTGAAGTCCTTTTAACACATTTTCCAATTTTTCAAGAACTATATTCTATAAGCCGAAAAAAATTCTTGTTATTTGTTATTTACCATTGAGTTTATGAGACGCCATTTTTTACAAGTGTGGTATAACTGATTCTGTGAACCAACATGGTGCAAAGAGTTGAATTTTTAAAAAAATGTTCGATATTAAATATTTTAAATCAATACTACCGAAAATTATTATTAAATCAATACTACCGAAAATTATTGTAAAAAATATGTTTATCTTTGTATATTTAAATTCTGCTACTTCCACGTGTTTTTTTCCAAATATATATCATTGCATGATCTATATTGTAAAACTCATTCCTCTGAATTTAACAGCAATGGACAAAATAATATTCGTGCAATGATTCCTGTACTGATTTTTATTCTTTGAATGTAAAATTTTATAAGATTTCAAATTATTTTCAGACTTATTATTGATTTTAAACTGTAAAATAAAATATGAAAATTTATAATAAAAAATGCAGTTTTGCTTAACTAGTGTAAATAGAAATTTAAATTTTTAGTCATTTTTATAAATCGTCATAAGAACAGCTATTGATTTATACTCAAATATTTAAAAGACGAATTAAAAATAAATTATCCAATTAACTTGAAATTCAATATGAGCACTATTTAAAAAGTTTCAACATACATTAAAAAGTTTTAAGTACGTTTTTAACAATATTCCATTTTAGAACAGTAGCGTTTAGCAAAAGCTCTTTTTTTTACTTAATTTCAAAGAAAAAGATAAATAAAACGAGAATTAAATAAATAATATCTATTTAATAGCAGTTATTTTTCAAATCGAACATTATTATAGATATACTCATTAATTATTTTTTAAATTTAAAATTATCATTAATATACTTAAAAGATAAATATGACTTATTACTAACATGCATGTCACCGAACTTGTACTTTGAATTCGGAAATGAGGTAATTTAAAATGTACACACATTTTTTAAAATAAAAAACTTAGAAGGTAGCCGCAAATGTATCTGGTAAATAAAAGAAATCACAAGAAACAGGAAGGAAAAATTATCAATCACAAGAATCTATTAAGCACCAACTCACTAAACATTCGTAAAACCCCCTTGATGTTATATTTCAACTATATCATTGTAAAAAAGCTATGGACAAGAAAGAATGTAACATAATCTGAAAGTAATTATCTTATCAGAATGAAAGAATTGCTTGATACTTCAGAGAAAAGTGTAAGATTGTATACAGTTCAAAAACAACTTTCAGAAAAGTGAATTCACAATTCATCCATCAAACTTTCAGACCCTCCTTGACCACCTAGACCGATAATCACCCCTTTTAACCACAAATTGAAGCAGAAGGGGGGAAGCATACCTTTTGTCCGACCCTCGACAATTTAGGTAGCACCTTTCTAAATGTGCCTGCTGCTTGAAATAAGAAACTTAGAGAGAGGGGAGACGCTAAGAGAGTTAATGCTTATTTTGACAACTTTTAGCTGGTTAAACATTTGATTAATTATAAATTATTATATTATAAATCATGTAATAAATTAAATAATATTATAAATTAATTATAATAGAAATTATGCTTTCATAATAATTTTATACTTTAATTTTCTGTAAAACAAGATTATTTGTTTATATTTTATAAGTTTTGTAACAATTATTTTAAAGATTTTTGGCTGTTTTTCATTTGATATGTTTAAAGTTTAGAAATTTAAAGTTAGAGATAAGAAATGGGATGTGTTCGGGATTGTTCTGTATTGTACAATTATGCACCAAACAAGATTTATTGTAGTTAATTATTATTAATATTTCTGTTGATTTATTGTCAGGATTTTAAGCTGTTCACTATTTGATTTAATAATATTTTAATATTTCAAATTAAATTGCGATTAAGCAATGTGATAGCAATTGTTCTATACAATCATCTGGTACAATTTAGTGCTGAGCAAGATTCTTTTCATCAATATATTTTTAAAACTTATTTGAATTACTTGTTTTACATAAAATTGGAGCATTTAAAATTAGTATTTAGTAATGTAAAGCATTTGCGATTGCTTTGCGTTGGAATTGACCACAATTGCAGATGAAACATTTCTGCGCACATTTGAAAAGTTATAAAAATCATAGAAATACATAATTTCTGATTTAAAGTAAAATTGCATAGATTAATGTATTGTATACTTAATAATTATTTTAATGACTTTTAAATATTCAATTATTTATATTGTATATAATCTGTTATTTGTAACAGATGTTTACTGCGGGGTCGTTTATGCTGTAGATTTTTACAAGGTGTATCTGATGGTGCAGACTTTCTGATGAAAAACTTTTTTTTTTGTCAAATTTTGCGGGAGCAGCACCTCTCCATTAAATTACAGTAATTAGTGATGAATGGGGCAGAGGTTACCCATTAATCCCACGTACCTTCATACCTTGCTCAGTTTTAACCCCATTTCTTTCAGACTCAGATTTTGTATTAACTGGAGCAGTGTGATCATAAATAAATCAATTTACAAAAATAACAAATGAAGCACAAAATTTTCTTTTCGTCACTAATTCTCTCAAGCCCCTGCCCCCCTCCAAAAAAAGGATGCGAAAAAATTTTAAATTTTATTTTATAAGTAATTTCTGTATTTTGTTTATTTCTTATAATTTGTAATATTGTTGTTACAATCTAAACATTAAAATTACAAATCTGCAGGTACTTTAATTTACAGGAATTCATTAGAAAAAGTTTTTTTTAAACATATATATATACTGATCATTTTTTTATTAGATATTTTCATGCACTTTTAAACCTTAACAAAAAAAATTTAAACTGAAGGGGCTGTACAGCAAGAAATCAGCAGCTGAAATTACACAAATTTGCTGTTCAAAAAAATGCCAAAATAGACTGATTTGCTAAACAAGTAAGATACTTATTTGCATATTATTTTTTTTTTTAAAAGGATGAATTTCCATACTTTAAATTAACGAAAAACAATAATTATTAAAGGATAAATTTAAAATGAGTGAGTCACTAATAGCCTTTGGTATGTGAATTAAAATGACAGCAAGAGAGCCCTCTGGGCAGAAATACAAAAGATTAACTTTTGAACCCTTTGGCTAATGCCAATATTAAATACATTTGAAATATATTTCAATAGCTGGACTAATTTTTATAAAAATATGATATTGTGGTACCACAGCTGGATGAAATGACACGGATTAACCATGAATGGAACTGTAGAGGAAGCGAAAAGCTACTTTCTACAGATGCCAACATTTTTATCTAATAGCAATCCATGCTATTATCTATCTAATAGTAAAATTTTTCTTTTTCTTCAGCAGAAAGAGCTATGCATTTATCAATTATCTAAGTATGTTGATGGATTATGGATATCAGCAATGAGTAAAAATTTAAATGAGTAAAAATGTAAATAAGTGAAAAAAACAATGTTGGTTGTAACCAAAAGAAACTTCCTAAAATTTAGTTTTATGAGTAACTCACTACTTTTTGTGATGGATTAAACCAAATTAAATTAAATATTACATTTCTCACTATTTTTAAAGCAAATGGAAGAATTTTTAATAAAAAATCTTTAGCAAACAACAAAATCATGCATGATAACTATAGTGCATATATAGGTGTAACACTAAAAAGCTAACAAAATTACCTGTAATGAAAGCTAAAAAGAAAATTCGCACTCGAGCTAATTGTTTATCAATGTGGCCAGTTTTGCTTTGCTCTACATAGAAATCATCCTGAGCTATTACTTGAACTTCTTCCGTTTTGTAAGTAAGTACTCTATCCCTGTGTACAACCATCCGAAATATAGCATCTTCAACTTCCTACAAAAAGTTTTCCAAAAATACATTAGTAAAATAAAATAAAAAACATCATTTTTCATATTAAAGATCAATAAAATTTACAATACCTGAATAAAAAACTTTATATCTATGTACGATTGAGATCCAATCTTAAGCAATTGTGAAGTTTGTGGAGAATGTTGAAGGGGTAACCCAAGTTTAGCTACATCTCCCATCGATGTTACTTGGCCTTGAGTAACTTTCGATATTTGGCCAGGCCTCACTCCCACTCTTTCTCTATAAAATTTATATTGCAGTTTGACAGTAAATATTTTACCATATTGATCATATTGTTGAGCGCCTATTTCTGATAATGAATAACAAGCCTAGAAAAAATAAATAACCAAACACATTATGTTGATAAAGTTTTTAGGAAATATGTGCTTTGAGTACATTTGCAAAAAATTACATTCCATAAATGTTACTCTTAAAAAAACATAGAGCTTACATAAAAAACAATAATTAATTTGATTAAATGTATCATTTAATGGTGGAGCGAGAGAGCAACAACAGATAACAGATCAAAAAAGAAGATACTATGCAAAACAAAAACATTAAAATAGCATTGCAGTTATATCCTGTTATAATAAAAACGTCAAAAAAACAGCAACAAATATCTATAAGATTCATTGCTTATAAAAAAAAAATAATGAAGTAAAAAGGATAAAATTATAATGATAGTCCATAAAAATATAAAAGATAAATAACAAGCTGAACTAAATAAAATTGCTAAGTGAAAAAAAATACAAGAAAATCAGTAAGAAAAAATATTTTTAATTCTTTCTTTTTAAGTACCAATTCAATTCTTCAATATCATAAATTTCAGTTTTCTGCATTACCATATTATTTAAATAAATTAAACTCTTTTTTTTATTACTTTTTAGAAATTTTAAATTTTATCTGCAAGTTAATCTTTTCTATAAATCACTCTTTTATGTTTTTGATTTCTTTATTGTGCTTGCATGCTTGTAAATCTAATTTTTAGTATGAAAGTTGTACAGGAAAATTTAGCTTTTTTTTTTTGTCTGTAGTTATTCTGTAACAAAATTATATCTTCAAAATATTACTATTCATTTAACTTTTTTGTCTTCATTATACTGCAAATATTTGCAGCAAAATTCTGATTTTCCATGTTCAAAAACTAAAATAGTTTGGGAAAAGCACAAAAAGGTGCAAAAATTGATATTGCCTTTGGGTACTGATAAATAACTCTTGCTATACCATGCATTTCATGAGCCTTAAAGATTGTAAAGAAAATTAACAATTAAAAATGACAAATAACTTTTTCTTAAGAGCTTTCTTAACAACAACTTCATAAGACCTTTAAGATATAAAATTTTTTAAATGCATTACCATTTAAAAAAATTAACTAGGTAAAAAGGCTTCTTTAAACTTGGAATTTCAAATCTAAATTTTAATCACCAGAAATAGTCAATTGGATGTTAATTTTCAGAACTAAGAACTTGCATTAGCAGATGGAAAGTTCAGTGTAAATCTAGTTCATTTTTGCGCACCTTATTACATACTTCTAACACTAATATACTACAATGAAACCTCAGTTCAGCAAACACTCTTGGGACCGCTTATAAAAGTTATTAGTCTAAGGAAGGGTACAGTAATAACGAACTTTTTTAACACCATAAATTGTTTAGAGAACAATTGCAATGATATAGAAATAATTAAATAACTTATAATAACTATTTACATTCATATATATTTAAACTCTGAAATAGATTTTTTCAATACAAAATAATATACAAAAAAGACTGATATATATAATATACACAGTGCTACAGAGAAATGAATTTACACCGATATTCAAGTTAGTCATACATCAAATGTATGCTTTTAGTCCCAGGTCACTTTCTTAATCAATTTGAATTATTAGGTTAGCACCACCCTATGACTTTATAATACCTTGAAGAAGGTAAACCTCCAGCGATACACAGAAAAAAAGAAAGCAGCAATACATATTTGTAAGGTACAAGGCCCTATGGAGTTGTTACATTCATTATTGATCATCAGTCAAACGTTTGAATAAATGTTTGATTCAAATGAACACCTCAATGATTAGATTTCTATTTCGTTTTCATTTTTTTTCGTTACCCAGCTGCGTTAAATACTAGGTATGAATAAATTAGAAGAGGAAAGGAATTGCTAGTGGGGAAGAAAGCATTTCAAGGAACACTTCAGTTTGTGGGGTTTCATAACTTGCATCCTTCAGGTGAAAAGATCAAATTATGCCAAAGTCCAAAATATTTCATATGAGCAGAATCATTCCCCCCCCCTTTTTTTTTGCAAAGATAAGGAAGGTGATAGGAGAATGGAGAATTCCGTAGTAGTGAAGAGTTCTGTAGTATTTTTTTAGTAGTGAAATAGCGTAACAATATGTTGAGTTATGGATAAAGCAAAATATTTACATGCTTTAAAAATGGTGGCAAGTTCCATATTTTTTTCTTGGAATTTAAAGCAAAAATAGTTTTTTCTTTTTTTTCAAATCTAGAAAAATTGGTGTCCAGATTGAAGAGATAGAAAACAACATATCTGGGGATAAATGACAATTCGCGCCTAGTTATGAGAGTGTCTGCTTTGCACAGAAAATTAAAAATATGTCCATAATAAGAGACATTAGTTTCTTAACCCTTTCGCGACGCAAAGCGCGAAAGCGCGCTTACCGCTGAGGCCGGCAGTCTCTCTAGCGTGTGTCTCCCCAGGGCCGGAGGGTTTTTCGATGTTAAGCCTAATTCCATGAAATTACCGAAATATCAGCGCGTTGTTTAATATTGTTCTGTAGAGTATTTAAGTGACATATGCTTTATATATATTTCTATGGATACTTTATTTACTTAAGTTATTTCTTGTTTAAATGTAATATAAATATTAATAAGTTTAAATATTTTGCATAATTTCCTCTATTTCCAGCTCAGTTAAAAATTTTCGACGCTTCGACATTCTAACGGTAAAAAGAAAAAAAATTCAAGCCTACAAGATCTAATTATCCACTAAAAACTAATCCGAAAATCGAAAGTAGCGAGAGATAAAAAAAACTCCCTTACTTACTGTAAATAAATATCACGTGCTAATTTAAAGAGCCCTCATAAAACATTCCCCCCCTCCACTCCTTCCCCTAAAAACCACGTGAATGTACTTTCATCTTGAGTAGAAGGTCAAATCCACATGTATCTGAAACCATATGGACATACAATGCCATCTTTTGGAAGAAATTTCATTTTTTAAAACGTTCCGAAACGCTGGCACAAATATGTGACGGTCGGGGGTGAACGAGAAAACTCTCTGACACGCGGGTGTGTCGGCCAGGAAGTGAGCGCGTTTCTTGCTGTCACATATATGTGACAGTCGGCTCAAAAGGGTTAAGAGTGTCCACAATGTGAGGTTTCACTGCAATTATAAACTCAAAATTTTTATTATACAAAAATAATGAAAATAAGCATTATTATCAAAGAAGTCTGTCAAAGTATATTAAAATACCTACCTTGGAAGAATTTTATTTTACTCATGAAGTAAAATAAATGCAGTTATGCATTTATAACTGTTTGATAATCACAGTAGGACAAATATAACTGTGTAAAGTAGATTCAAAGTTTTTTAATATTAAATATTAGAATAATGTGTTCTTTCAAAGCACTTTTCCTTTCATCGTTTCAGGGTTCCTGTCTAACAAAATAAAATAAAATAAAGTTAATCATGCAAGAAAACTAAAACAAAACTAAACATAACATAAAAGCAACTGATGAGAAAAGTAAATAAAACCATGCATAGTGGTAAAATAAATTCTAAGCCAAAAAATACATAATTGGGGATAATTAGAGATAAAACAAAACAGCTCAATCTAAGAACTTAACATTTATTCAGAAAAGTGCTGCGTTTTTAAAACAAAATGTTTCTACTCTGAGATAATTTATGTACATTACATTATTTCAATTGCCATAAGATAAAGTATCTCTTAATGGTGGAAAACTGCTCATCTTAGAAACAGGGATGGCAAGCTTCTTTCACAGAGGAAAAAATCTTAGGAAAAAAAAAGGAATATATAGGTTTTTTCAACACCAAGTGGATGAAATGAAAGAGCAATACCAAAAAATAAAATAAAATTTAACATTTAATAATTTCAATCTAATTCAAATCAAGACTGCTGAGTCCAAGTCAAAGAAAATTTTGTAGGAGTAGGAGTCGGTGTTAGAAACAAAACAAAAAGTTAGCTCAACAATAGTTAAATAAAAAATTTTATGTCCTTAGGTTAAAGGAAAATTTTTTTTTGATTTTTATGAAAATTATTTAAACAAATATTTATAATTATATGAACAAAAATATTACTTAAAAGAATATTATGACAATTATTGAAATCATAACATATTACAAACTTAATTTGAATATTTTTGAGTCTATGAATAAATAATTATTATGGTTGATTTATTTAGCTAAAATTTATTTAAAAGCAATGCAATTAATAAATATAATCATTTGTAATAGTTTTCTAGTTCATGAATACTCACTAAACACTCCTGTTGTGTTTAAGACGCTTACAAGTGTGTGTGAGAGATATTGATATCCAGCTCTTTTCTTATAATGGTTTTACACAATTATAAAATTTTGCACAAATATATTTTTTAATATTTACTTCTTTTATAAAAAATTTTAGCATATGGGAGTTGGAGTCAAACCGCTCAGAAAAGTTGCAAGTAGGAGGTGAACATTTCAACAACAAACTTCACTGATTCCTCATCAACTCAAAGGAATAAAAACTTATTTGATTGACCAAATTGTCCTGATTTTGACAAGTCAAGAAAATATATTTTTCCATATCCAGATAATAGATCTTTGAAATGAATAAAGATAATAAAGTATTATGTATTCAATTTTAAAAAAATTAATTAACACCAATTTTCATTCAATAAAATTTTTTTATCAGTTAAATTATGTTTAATTAATTTAAAAAAATTTTAAGTGATAATTTTTATCTTTTTTGATTTGTTTAAAATTTAGTGGATAAAAGTTTTATTGTTAAACTCAAAGTCATTTATTGTCTTCAGTTCATGAAACATTATTAAGAATAATTTTAACCTTCACAAATGTGAAACTGCAGCTCATTTTCAAAAATTATTCAATCCACAGTCTACACGAGTTTCTATTAAGAGTACACAACCTATTTTGAAACATAGCTGCAAAATATTTTTTATTTTTGTTTTGTGGACTACAATGAATTTAATATTTATATAAATTGATTGAAATTTAATTAGTCCTTACTGTAATAAAAACAACATCAATTTGTTCCTAATATTAAAAGACAATATTTATATATTATGTCTTTGACTTGAAAAACGTTTTAGGTAATAAAATTAAATTATAGCAGGTCTTTAGTTTTTTTCTGAGGAAAAATTTATTTAAATTTTTAATGTATATAGAATAAATTCTTTACTTACATCTCTATATTTTTTTTTAAATAAACCCTTGAACTACCTTTGTTTTGAACATGGTTCTGTTTAATAAAACGTTCTTTAAAAATAGAATTGTTGAAAGATTTAAATTGCTAACAGCTTAATTATTACCACCGTAGTTTTAATTTTTGAGGGGGGGTTTTCCGAGGCTTTTGTTTTTAAAATTAAAAAGAGTTATAAAATTTCATATGCTAGTTATATAGTTTTTTTAAAATTAATTTTTGGTTGGAAAGCAATGGGTTGCATACTGACCATTGAAGGGCCATATATAAGCCCCAGGTCGTAGTGTGTGTACTCCTTTTCTATATGATCATTATTAAAAAGCATTTTAGCTCAAAATCAACAACAAAAATTTTAAAAGAATCCTTACTTGTAAAGGTAATTCCTGAAATGGCAATTTGTCATCAACTTTATTAAAAAGTTGTAAAACACTATTTTCTGAAAGTTTCACAATTATCTTTTTCCAAAAACGATTTCCAGTTAATTTCTTTTTATTTGGTTGCCTAAGGACCATTTCCCAGCAATCTTTTTCATATGGTTTGGGATAAACTTCTAATGGTTGAGAAGTATCTTCATCAAATAAAGGAGACAGTGGAGTTTCAACTGAATCTGCTTTTCGAACTCCAGCTTCCCCTAAAGCAGGCACTGGCTCATCATCAATTTCAGCAATTTCCAACACTTTCTCAGTAACTTTACTAATTTCAGGACTATCAAAAGAGTCTTTGTCAAAAGGATTAAATCTAGAAATAGGAGTATCAAAAGCCTTAGTTGGTGTTTTAGGAGGTGGAAGTAATTTTGGTGGTTCCATTGTATCTAATTTGACATCGCTACTATCCTTTACCTTAGGTTTTATAACGACAGAAAAATCAACTTCAGTGTCATAATCTTCAAATGAATCCCTAGAAGGCTCTTTTTTCATCATACCTTGGCTATTTTCTGCTTTACTGGTGACACGAAAAGGATCAAATTCATCCATACTTTCAAATCCTTTGTAATTATCTTGGATATTCTTCAGTGTGGGTGCTCGCTTTGACATGAATGGATCAAAAGCACTTGAGGCCTGATTATCTTTAACACTTTCAAATTTTGCAGCAAAGGCATCAAAATCAGGGTCTACTTTAGGTTCAAGTGAATTTATTTTGAATTGAAATGCATTATTTTCTTTCTCAAATGGTTTAAAACTTTCACTAAAATTTGAATATGCATTTTCTTCAGGGAGATTAACAGGTGGGCCATCTTTCTGAGAAATGCTTTCTCTACGAGGAATGCTTTCTTTCCTAGGAATACTTTCTTTTCTAGGAAGGCTTTCTTTTCGAGGAACATTTTCTCTAGCAGGAATACTTTCTCTACGAGGGATATTTTCTCTTGAAGGAATGCTTTCTCTACGAGGGATATTTTCTCGTGAAGGAATGCTTTCTCTACGAGGCATACTTTCTTTTTGTAATAAAGCATCCTTTTCAGTAATGCTGTCTTTTCGTGAAAAGCTCTCTTTTTGTGAGATACTATCCCTTTTGGGATGAGATATAGAGGAAAAATCTTCAGAGACATTTGGAAAAAATTCACTTGAAATGTCTTTTTCGGAATTTAAAGGACCAGATTTATCTTCCTCGGGTACTGTAAACTCTGAAAGTTCATTAATGGATGCTGATAATACATTTTCTTCAACAGGAGTATCAGCAATACTTGAAGCAGTTTCATTTGACTGTTTCTTACTTGAACTTGTGTCCTCCAACTTATTTGCATTAAACATTTCTACGTCATATTTATCTTTTTCATCTTTTGCATTAAACTTGTCAGGCAATAAAATTTCTGTTTTCACAGTATCAGAATTCCACATTGAAGATGAACTCATTGCATTTTTTTCAGGTTCTAGATTACTGCACGGCACGATTGCATCATCTGATAATATGCTACTTTCATTAACCTTGCTGGAATTCCACATGCTAACTTCATCCATTAATGTTTCACCTTGAACTAGATTTACTGAATTTTCAAGGTGCTGCGAAAAACCATTATCTGTTTCGAGTTCTTGTTCTGGTTCAATATTATCATTAAAAGCAGAATTTACAAATCCTCCACATTCAAACGTGGGAGATTTAGGCAACTCTTCACTTGTTTGAAATAAATCATCAGTTATGTTTTCCTTACTAGAAGATGGTCCAATTTTGATTCCAAAAAAGTCATCTTGATCTGAAGCAACATTATTAGAATTGCCAAAACTGAATGGATTATGAGAGTAGGAAGATTGAGTATTTTCTTCACGAGATTCTGATTTGATATCACTAGTGAAAAATGGATTAGTTACTGCCTTCTTAGCTTTGTCAGAATGAGTTGGGGAAGTGGTCATCCAATCATTTGAATGCATAGAGCTAGAGAAGGGGTTGGAACTACTTTCAGAACTTTTTACAAGAGATTCTTTTCTCTTTATTTCTGATACAGAAGAAATTGGGGCTATATTGGTCACATTAACAAATGAAGTGTCAAATGGATCAACTTCTTCTTTATCATCTAAAAATAATAAATCTTGCATGTTTGCATGTGATGTCATTGATGTTGTACCAGTATCGCTTTTAAAACCAAATTCATCCAATAGGTTAAATGATTCAGTAGTTTTTGTAGAAATCAGTTCTGTAAGTACAGATCCTGAAGTTGCTTCACTGTAAGCTAAATTAGTCGTATCTACTTTACCAGGATTAGGTGGTGGAGGTCGTACAGGTGAAGCACTACTCTTACTATTCATCCCATGCAAGGCACTTGAATCAGAAGGAAATGCCACATTGGAATATCCAGGGGGAGGTGGTCTAGGAGGTAATTTTGATGCAGTGTTTGGAGAAAAATCAGATCCAAAGTCCAAATCAACAGTTGAACTTTTATCACCACTTGGAGCGGGGGGTCGAGGTGGTGCTCTTAAAGGTTTTGTAGTGCCATAAGAAGCTTCTCTGGATGCAAATTCATTATCAGCTTCAAAAGGATCATCTTCATTTGGAACAGTGTCTTTCAGTTTATTTAATGTTGTTTGAGTTTTCTGAACCGTGTCTTGAACTTTCATAGATAATTGTTGAAAAAATTGCCATTCTTCAGTATTTTTATTTTTCTGATCAGGGTTTTGAGGATGGAGTGATTGTTCATACACTGCCTTTTCATATTCTTCTTCTTCATCATCTTTTTTATGACTTTTCAATTTCTTTTTAATAAAATTCATTTTCTGATCTGGAATTATACAAAAAATAGATTAAATGTAAAAATTACATATACAAAATAGATTATTACATATACAAAATAGATTACATGTATAACAACACTTCAAAAATAATATGCTAAATATTACATAAAATAAAGACTACTCAAAAACAATGAATGATGGACAATACAATACTGAAAAAGGCAGACTCAGTATTTTTTTAAAGCTAGCCACAGCTTTGCAAAATTAGCCTATATTCCAAAGAAACTACAGAGTTGCCATAGATATTGGCAACTTTGGCAAAAGCCAAAAGAATTTCAAACTTTTAGCAGATTTATTTAAACAATTTAAACATAAAACACAATTTAAACTATCATTTTTTTTAAAATTTAAAAGTGGAATCTGTGAAGTAATTAGGAAATATTGGAAATTTGAAACTTCGTAACAAAAATATATCATATTCCTTCAAAATTATTAATTTTTTCAATAATGCATTGAACCTTTAACAGGCTATAGGCAATTGCAACGCTCAAATACGCCATCTGGGGAGAAGACCGGGTCCATGCCTTTGGACCTTCTTGCTTCCCTCTCCCCCTCTTTTCAGTTGTACAGGAATGCACTACAATATTTTTCCTTTTCTTAATATTTTTCTTTTTTAATTAATAAAAATATTTATTTTAAATTTCCATGATGCTCTCTTTTAGAACTGTATTTTATGTAGTTTTCAATTCCATATAGTTTCCCAACTTAAAAAGATTTTAATCTGTATGAAAATCACGACAAACTAGCATACTTTTTTCTTCTATGATTCTCCACAAGCTAATAATGAAAGCATGCAAAGTGTTGCCATTGGTAGAGAGTTCTGCTCTACACCATCTATGGGGCCGTTCAAAAAGTACGTACATCCCGAAGGGGGGGGATTTGCTATTTTGTACGGTTTTGTATGACGGGGAGGGGGGGAGCTATTATACAAAGTACGTACATAAAGTTGGGAGTTATTGTTTAAATAATTTAAATTAATAATTTATATTAAATAAATATTTAATTTTATTTAAAACATAATTATTTTAATTTTTATGAAAAAGGGGGAAGACTAATAAAATGTACGTACTCTAAGGGGGGGGGAGTAAGACCTTCTGTACGGTTATGTACGAAGGGGGGGAGGGGGTAAAAATTTCTCCATTTTTGTGTACGTACTTTTTGAACGGCCCCTATAGCCCATTTCGATAGCAATCAATACATAGGGTTACTAAATTTATTGTCAGGGTATTTATCTCCTGACTTTTGATTAAACATAAAAAAAATATTACAATGCATTCATAAATTTAACAGAAAGAAAAAAAAATTTTTAAAAAATGCACAAATCAATATGCAAACTTACATTAAATTAACACAATTTTTTAATGCTTTGGTTACAAACAATGAAGTTCTCATTTGGGAAGAAGGGTGGGTTCATAACATCAAGAAAGAATTCAACCCCTTAACTGCCGAGTAAAATTAACGTGATTCACTCCCCAGTGCCACCGTTTTTCGCTCAAGTGCACTTTCTTACACGGTGTTTTGAGTGGGAAAAATGATGCACGCTTTGCAATTTAAAAACAGTTTAATTTTACAAGAAAAAGGAAAGAAAGAAAATGCAAAATTTAAATTAAATAATAAAAATACAATATAAAAGATGTTAAAACTTAGCTGTTGTATGATAAATCCTGAAATATGGTTGGACACATAAACCAACATCACATTCATCGCACTGATAGCGGGATTCACGACAAATTTTTTTTCTTGAACAAACAGCACATTTTCGCGATGCATTTTTCTTTGAAGACGTTGATGGAAAGAATAAAAAGCACCAAATACATACGGGAAACAAAAGTGAAAAAAGAATAAACCCGGCCTTACCCAAATAAATACACACAAGCGATTAATACGATATCACTTTTCCATAACATCCCTATCCCATTCCCCCTCCTCCGAAATTAGTAATACATTCGCAAAGCAAACACTTTCAAGGCCATTTTACTGCATTCTGAAGTAGGGGGTGTAGTTCTATTTATAGCAGCGCAATGCAAAGCATCGTACTTCGGGAAAGCGTATATATACGCCTCCGGCAGTTAACGCATCGTCTTGCCGAGACGTATATATACGCCCGCGGCAGTTAAGGGGTTAATACCCAAGCCATTTTAAATTATATATTTGTAAGCAAAGATATTTATAAACAAAGTATCACTGCATTGTGAAATATTAACAAAATCCTTAACAATTTAAATCATAGCACCAATTTATCACACTTAATTTTAAAACACTTTAACTCTGTGTTTTTAAAATTAAGCTCTTGTAATGTATTGTAAGGAAAAATATAATATTTCATGTTTTTTTAATCAAAATTTATAATGAGGTAAAGAAACTCTAACAATCAGAGTTGATTAAGTAAAATTTGGGAGGGAAAAAAAATTTATACATTTTCAAAGGAAAATTATAAGTAATAACTTATATAATCCATTTCAATAAATAAGTCATTAACTTAGATGTAACCTCTAAAAATAATAAACTCTGCATCTTTAGAACCTTATGCTAGGTACATTTATGGATGCAAAATACCTGGGTTTTGTAATTTAGAGGAAATACACAAAATTCAAATACATGGGTATTTTAGATTCTAATAAAAATTTAGTAATTATTATTTATGTTTTAAAAAATGTACACATTTAAGACACAGATAAGTGTTGTTTATCTAAACAACAGTTTATTTGTCATTTACTACAAGGAAAAACTTAATCAATTGAATATTTAAATTAATATTGAAATCACTGTTTTGTTTTTTAAAAAAATCTCAGAATGGTTTAATTCTCACTAAATTCACATTTCTGCACCCAATATTAGTTTCTACAATGACATTTTCTGAATTTAAAACCAGCAACTAAATAAAGAAAATATTGACAAAAACATATTTTTAAAACGCAAAAATTTATTCAGGTTTTAAGTTATTTAAATTATAAAGTTAATCACACTTAACTCTATTGTTTTTCCTGCTTAAATATAATACCTAATTCCTCTTCTGTTGCATAAAAGTATAAGGAATTATTAACAAGGAAGTACGTTTAAATATTGAAGGAAATGAATGCAGAACATTATTATTAACGAAGAAATAATATAAAAAATTATACAAGGGCATGCACTTCAACATGTTATAAACCTTTATATTATTTTATTCAAATTAAAAAAAATTCTATAAATTTAAAAAAAAATTTACCATAATTTTTTTAATGAAAATGAGCATAACTGGAGAATTAACCAACTCTGTTTAATAAATTCTTATTTATAGAATTAAAATAAAAAATATTTAAGTCGAATTTTCTTTTCTTCCTTCTTTTTTTAATGGTATTTTCTTGTACAATCTAACATCTCGGTAGTTTTTCTCAAAACCTAATTGGTATTTCATGGCATCCGCTAACTAGCACCGCTAACTTACTTGAATCGAGTTGACACTGGCAGGTAAGATTATGAAATACATGCCAATCAAATTTTTACATGTCTTGGGCATGCCGGGCAATATAATTTTCAAGCCTTGAAAAAATGCACTTATCAAAAGTTTTTTCAAATTGAATACATTTACATAATTCATTGTATTTAATTTTTAAAAAATAATGCTTTCTGAAAATTTAATGCTACATTCAACGCTCAACATAAGGACAATTGTGTTTAAAAGAAAATGGATGTTGTAATGCAAGGTCACTATATTGTGAGTACACAAAAACTACAGCAAATATTTACTCATAAATGCAGGACTTATTTTGACAAAAGCATTATTCTTTTATCCATTTCCTTTAAAGTTTTTAAATTCTGTTCTAAAGTTGTAGTGTTACATTGGTTAGAAGCAGCCATTTTTGCTAAATAATATACATTTAGAGAACTGAAATGACTAAGCAAAAACAGAATCAAGAAGAATGTGAATACTACATGTTTTATCTCTAAAATAAACCACTTATTATAATGTTGCACTAAAAGAGTGAACATAGTTTTCAAACAAGAATAATATGATTTGAGGATGTATTTCAAAGGTTACAAATGCATAGAAGAGACTCTGATTTCCAAGTGAGGATGAAATTTACATGTATAAATCTTAATAATAAAAATAATCAATATATTACAATCTTTTTAACCATAAATTATGCCATGGGATCAGTGGCGTAGCTAGGTAGCTAAGGGCCCTGGGGCAAATTAAAAAATGGGGCCCTACTGCTATGTAAACTGATTAGGTTTTATCAAATAAAAATATGAAATATACAAATACTTTAAAAATGCTAAGCTACAAAAGCTCTTTTTTGTGCACTGCAGGGAGGTAATAAAAATATTAAACAATAACAACATAAATTACAATTAATACTTGGTGTAGGTTTGGCTAATAAAACGAAATAGAGAAGATTCAAGGGTTTATTATATAAAGGTTGGGCCTACCAACTGACTAAATAATAATTATATTTACAATTTTTTCCTAGCTTTAGTTTTCGCAAAAGTATCAATGACTTCGTTTAAATCCAGGCTTGATGCGGTTTTGTTTTCAATTGCTATTAACGATAAATGTCGGAGTCGAGTTTGGCCCATATTATTTCTTAAATAATTTTTTATTATTTTTAATTTGCTAAATGACCTTTCAGCTGCTGCAGAAGTGACAGGAATTGTAAAGAATAATAACATTGCTGTAAATACTTCCGTTAGGTCGCATTCTAGCACTCCATATTTGCTCATTATTTCCTTACATAATTGGTGAACAGTCCATGCTTGAGTTAGTTGAGGTAAAACTAGGTGGTAAATATTAATAAATTGAAGTGAAAAACTAGGGCCTATTATATCTGAATATTTTCTTTGGAATTCGTCACACTTTTGTAATAAAGTTGCTTCATCAACATGTAATAAAAATGTTGGTGTTAGAAAATCGAATATATGACAGACTGCACTCATACCAATAAAACGTGTATCTAATTGAGATATTACTGTGTCTAGTACATTATTGAAAATCTCAATTTTAAATATTTTTTCTCGGTTAGGAAATCGGTGATCAGCAGCTAATTCATCAAAATGTTTTTTAACTTTTCTTTGCCTTTTTTCTTGAAAATGGGTATCAATACCATATTTTCTTGCAGTTTCACTGGCTTTGCACTTGAATAATTCGAAATCATTTCTATAAATTTGCAACTTTGCTTTGGTCTCTGCTAAAACTTTACTCGCCTCGCCCAAATTGATGTCGCATTTTTGTAAAGTTTTGGATGCATAATTGATGTCGTTCAATACACTGTGCATGAATTCGCAAAGCAACACGAACTCGAAATTTAGCATTTTTGTTTTAATACTCTCTGCTTCACTACGCTCATCTTTATTAGGACTCTTTAGAACTATTTCTGATAATGCTTTGATAATATCAAAATAACGAAGTTTTATTGCAGATATCGTATTGACCCTACTGGACCATCTAGTCGGATTTAGTTTTTTTAGAGTGGTGTCCGATTCGCCAGTGAATTTTGACAGTAGATCCCAACGTTTGATGCTGTTTCCGAAAAAGTTATACAAATCTTGCAACGTTGCGAAAAAAATCTGTATTTCCACACAACTGCTAACGGCATCATTTATCACCAAATTTAAATTATGAGTGGCACAATGTACGTACTCTGCGTTAGGCTGGATATCCTTAATATGTTTTTGTACACCATTATACACACCACTCATCACACTGGCTCCATCATAGCCTTGCCCCACACATTTTTTTAAATCAATATTTTTGTCGATAAATAATGTTGTCACTTGGTTGACTAAATCTACTGCGCCATGTTTGATGGCTGCATAAAAGCCTAGAAACACTTCTTTTACTTCTATATCAATTGGCTGTCCATTTTCCGATCTGGTTATTACTGCATACCTCACAACAATGCTTAGCTGATCTACCTTCGATATGTCCTGTGTCGTATCCATTATGATGGCAAAAAACGGTGACGCTCTAATTTGTTCTAGTAGATGGGTTTCGAGTTTGGTCCCCAAGCTCTCAATCATTTCATTTTGAATTGTTGCACTCAGATATCTTGTAGATCCTAAAAACATAAAAAAACACAATTTCAAAAAAGTCCTGATATTAAACAGTTAGTAATTATAAACAAAATAAAACGAAAAAAAAACTTAGAAATAATTATTATTACCTTTGGGCATATCCAAAACTTGCCGCAAAATGTGATCATATCGGGCGACAAGCTCTACAAAGGACAGAAAATTTCCGTGGTATCCTTTCTGACTTAAGTCTTCTTGATGTCCTCTCAAAGCCAAAGAACTCTTTGCTAGGGTAAGTATGATATCGAATAACCTTTGAAGAACCATTTTCCAAAATGATGCTTCTTTGCGAATTTCATTTTCAAGTTCCTTGTCGATAGTATTAGTCTTTTTTTTTTTCCAAAATTCATACACAGCACATGCTTCCGAATGGCCACTCGAACAACTGTGTTGTTTAATTCTTTCTGATAAATGCTTCCAATCTCGAATTCCCGTACACCAAACATTATTCCTTTGTGAAGCAAATAACCAGCAGGGTTGACAATAGGCAGCGTCTAGTATTTTGGAATAACACAACCAAAAACGATTAACTGGCCCATATTTAGAACACGAAACGTAGTACGATTTTGAAAAACACCTATTGTTCTGGTTGATGTCTGTTGGAAAAGGTCCTGAAGGCTGTAAAGGCCCCATATCAAGAATTTGACGTTTTTCGTTATCACTTAATATCTTGTTTGTGAAGTTTCCCAAGTCACAAGAAGATTTGTCGTACACATTTTCGAAAAATGTAGAGGTCTGTGGTTCCTCCAAACCCTCCGCTCTTATGTGTGTCATGCAAACATCATCCACGTTCACATGATCGGCGGCGGAGGTATCTCCAACTGCAATAATTGTCGAATCTTCTTCAGTAGGCTTCTCAACCAACACTGCAGTTACCACGTTATTTGAGTCACTATCAATAGAAATATTTTGGCCAGATGTACTTGCAGAAGGCTGACTAAAAAACTTGCCAATTTTGGGCAATTTTTGTTTACTATCTTCTCTTTCTTGGCGTTGTTTGCGTTTAAATGCACCACTGGGTTTCTTTTTATCCATAATTTTAGTTTTCGAATTTATTTAAACAATACAATATTAGATTGTGCTCGAGTAGGTAGGTAGTAACTGTTCACTGACGACGTTGAAAGTAAAATAAAAGGAAAGAGAAACACAATGATACGCTACAATTAAGTGTCGTTGGGGAATCCCCGGAAAAAATTATCACCGTTAGTGTTACCACATTTAACGGTGGAGACTGTAATGGTTGGCAACTGTTTGGCGACCTTTTGAGGCGCACTTAGCGCATTTTGTCATCCCGTCGGAGAGATGCGAGAGAGAGAAAGGTAGATGTATGTTTAATATAATCAGGAGAGGGTCTCCCTTGGTATTCTAAGAGCTGGAAGCTCTTACTGGAAAGCAATGCCTATTTCTTTTGTTTTTAAATAAAGTTAAGTTTTATTGTTTTAAAAATCTGGTCTGCTTATTTATTGGAAAGGAAAGGCATTACAGAGACCATGAACGATCTCCTGCCCGCGGACCTGAATTAATGTACCTACTGCAGGTGACTTGCAATTTTTCACGATATTTCGCGTTATACAATGAGCTGTAGCCGAAATCTATAGATTTGATACGATTTATTGACTTAACGGACATGATGTGTGGTAAAATCAAATAAAATTGAACCACTATATTGAACAGTACAAAGTTTACTGACATTAGCTTACTTACTCCAGATACAGCATTAATTTTTTAACCGTTCTCGAAAAAAAAATCTTAACTCGAATTCACAATAAAACGCACATCGATGAATAATAAAACGCACACATCATATCCGCCAAATTGACAACACTGCCAACCTACAGAAAGAATTTAGGGAAATTCCCTAGGCATAACTTTTGAATTTCTCTCAACTGAGTTGTCATGATTAAAGTGGGGTTGCAACCTGTCATATTTATTTTGAAAATGGGAGAAATTTCCAAAAGTTCAGTTCGATCGAGATTTCTGGTGAGGATTCGAGGGCCCCCTGAGCTTGAGGGCCCCGGGGCACTGCCCCGCCTAGCCCCTTGGTAGCTACGCCACTGCATGGGATAAGAATGAGTAGACCTCCTATTCTTCACACCCAGTTCTTCATTCATTGTCATCTTTATTGAGTGATAACATCCAAAAAAATAGTGGTTTGAATTCATTGTTAATGAGAAAATGCTTGTACAGAATGCTGAAAAATCTTTGATAAATCTAAAGCTGAATAAAAAAAATTAAGCCAACTTTTGATCGCTATATTAGAATTAACAATTCAATTCAGAATTTTAATAGTCATTAAAATAACATTATGTCTATGTAATCGAAAATGGGACTTTATGTATCTGCTGTTGCAAAAGGGTGGGTCGTGCTAAAGAGCATAGACTGTATAAATTATAGTCTCATTAGGACATGATAATTTAGAATGCAATTAACAAAAGTATGCAGTTAACTAAATTTTAAATCATGACCAAATTTTATCCACATTAAGGACTTGGTATTCTAGATAGATGTGTATAAATAAAACAATACTTAAGAATTTATCAAATTAACTGTTTCCTACACTATTAAAATTTATCTCTGTAAATTCAAGAACTGCTTTATATGGCTCATTACAAGATATCTTTATATTACTAATCAATAATTATTTTATTAAATACATTGATATCAAAATTCAATTAGACATTTAATTAAAATTTTATGCTGTAAACTTAATTAAAAACGTTGAACAATAAGCTTTAAAATATGTGAATTAATATTTCATATAAAATAGAAAATAAGACAGTAATAAAATTAATACAGCGAAAGATGATTTTTAAACAAATACTACCTATTGTTAAATCATGACATTCTAAAAAGTTTGAACATTTAATTTGCATATTGAAGCTTTTGCTGAGTCTCAATGTCAAAAGTGAAAATCTTCAAGAAATATCAGTAAATTTTAAAAATAAAATTATAATTTGTTTTAAAAAAATTGGATCAATGCGGAATTAGACCATGGAAACAAAATATCAACTGATTATAAGTAGAATTTTAAATATTAACACATAAAAACTAATAAGTGAATAAAAAAGTTACATGGATAGTGAATTTTCTTTTAAAATTAGATATTTAATTTCGATGTTGACTTAAAAATTAGAATATATCATTTAAATTAATAAAATTAACATTTAGTTGAAATAACCTGTTTTTAAAACTCAGTTTAGATAAATGTCAAGTATTTTTAATATCACACATTCTCTATAACCCTTTTGGGTTTCTTCCATTTCATTCAGTTTTTCCACTGTCTTCAATAAAACAGGTTTCTGCCACAAGAATAACCACTCTTGAGTTTAAATTACTTCACTGTTATGTCTACCTCACATTAAAACTAAACAAGCCTTTTTGTGTTATCTTTTATATTACCATGTTTAAAAAATATAGCTCTTCTACTAAAAAATTATAATTCTTTGAAACATTTCTTTTGTAGCTGTTATATTTTAAACTACAAACTTATTAGTTCAAATATAAAACATCTATAATTTTCTAAGAAGATAAATCATAGTTGCAAGGCTTAAAAATGATTGAAAATTATAAATACCCTGATTTTTATTTAAAAAAATTAAATATTTTTTAAAAATTTCACTTAGGCAAAATATATATCAACACATGCTTAACAATAATAGTTGCATCATTTTAATGATAAAATAATATTCAGTGTATTATTTATAGTGTTTGCGTATATTATCAAGTATTTCAGTCTTGGTAATTAGGGTCAAAATACTGTCAACATACTATCCGTAGATAAATTTTAATCATTGTAATAGTTTTAAAGAATAAATAAATACAACACAAAATGAATATCTCATTAAATGAAAAATAAAAGCGAAAGTAAATTAAGAATAATACTGAATTTTATTATAAGATATTGGCTTAATTTGAACTTGTATACACCGAAATTCGCCACAGAAGCTGACAATTGCCTTAATAGTTCATTAAACTTAAGGCTTTGTGTTTCATAGAAGTATTCATCATCATCATATTTGGCTAGACAGCCCAGGGTGGGCCAGTGCCTTCCTTTGAATTCGAATCCACTTCTCTCTACTTTTGACACTTGTTCGCCAGTTTTTCTCCTTTAGAGTAAGGAAATCAGTCTCAACTAAATCTAGCCATCTCAGCCTGGGTCTACCTCTTTTCCTGTTCGTTAGGGGTTTGTGTAATAGGATTTTCTTTAAATTTGAGTCATCATTCCTTCTGAAAATGTGAGCTGCCCAGTTCATTCGATTTATTTTAATGAATTTCACAATATCTGGCTCTCTGTAGATTTTATACAGTTCAGTATTATATCGTCTTCTCCAGGAATTATTTATTTTTATCCCACCAAGGATGGCCCTCAAAACTTTTCTCTCAAAAATGGCAATTTTATTTTCACCAGCTAGAGTTAGGTTCCAGGTCTCAGAGCCATAGGTAAGTATTGGCCTAATTAATGTTTTATAGAGTAAAAGTTTTGTATTTTTTGATAAAAGAGATGATTTGAAAAAACGTTTTAAACCATAAAAAGCCTTATTTGAACAAATTAGACGACTCCGAATCTCATTGTCTATGTTATTGTCGGCAGTAACAATTGAACCAAGGTAAGTAAAATTCTGAACAGTCTGAAACCTGTGGGAACCAATCTCCAGATAGGATTCACTAGAATTTAATTTAGCAAGTACAGGCATGTATTTGGTCTTATCGGTATTGATGATTAGTCCCATATCCCTAGCAGCAAGCTCCAAAGAAAGGAAAGCTTCTTTTAATGCAGGAACAGTTCGTGCAATGATGTCTAAATCATCCGCATACGCCAATATTTGAATAGATTTTGAAAATATGTTGCCTCTGATATTGATTTCAGCATCTCTTATAACTTTTTCTAGAGCAACATTAAAAAGAAGACAGGATAAGGAGTCTCCCTGTCTGACTCCATTGTTTACTTTAATTTCTTCAGATAAAGATCCCAAAAGTTTGACTCTGCATACGGTGTTTGACATGCTTGCTTCTACAAGTCTAATTAGTTTTGGTGGTACTTGAAATTCAACCAGGGCTTCATACAAGCGATTTCTATTAATACTGTCAAAGGCTTCTTTGAAATCAATAAAGAGATGATGTGTGGTAATACCAAATTCCCTGGTCTTCTCTAAAATTTGTCTAAGTGCAAATATTTGATCTTTAGTAGATTTTCCCTTGCGAAAACCACATTGGTAGTTTCCAATTTGAGGGTCTATATATTGTATAAGTCTCTCAAATAAAATGTTTGACAAGATTTTGTAGGTAGTAGAAAGCAAACTTATACCTCTGTAGTTAGAACAAACCATGGTATCACCTTTTTTATATATTGGGCACATAATGGCAGTGTTCCAGTCAGAAGGTAAAATTTCAGCATTCCAAATATCAGTAATAAGATTATAAATTAGTATAGAAGTATTAGTGTGAGAATTTGTCATTATATAATTAATAGTCCACATTAGCTGCTTTGAAATAGAATTTTATACTGTTTTCTTGTGAAACTTATTAAATAGTTGCTTATGAAGGCCAATTGACGAATTTATGAAAAGTACTGTCATGGAATGTTTCAGAATATAGGCTGATGTAATACCTGAAGCGATGTTTTCTAAAAAAATTTCTTTTGAAAAATATTGATTAAGATAAATTTAGATTTTGAAAGACAGGATATACGTAGTTCTTTAATTTACAGATGTACAAATTTTTTAATTAATGTTTTGTATCTTTTCCCTGTTTTGAACTTGAAAATTAAGTAAAAGGTTCAACTTAGAAATTTTAAATGTTGAATATTATTTTCAGTTTGTGTTGTGATTATAAATGAATAGAGTATTAAAATAACTAAAATTGTAGATAAATGAATGGTTAGCATGTTTCAAACTGGTTCCAAAACATGGACTTCTTCGTGTAAACATTTTTATTTGGTTTATCTCAATATGTTATACTCCAAAATCACCTTGTAATGACAGATTACTAATTTATAAGGTTTATAATATTTTTCTGTCTAAAATTGAAATTTTCATAGTAATTTTTTAGATAGATAATAAATAAAAAAATCTATATGCAATGTAATTCAGATAGAATAAAATAAAAAGTAAAAGAGAAAAACAAAAAAGATACATAACTAGTTTGATCATCAAATTTTAAAAAATATTAAAATAAAAACACAATGGAGGATAACTTAACCAAAACATTTCCATAACACATTAGAATAATTTTTTGACATGAAAATACCAGACAAATAAGTTAATTTGACTTTATTATAAACATACTACGAAAAATAATTAATATCGATGATGCGTTATTTAAAAAAAAATCATAAACAACTTTTCTTAACAAAAATTTAAATAATTACAAGTACAATCAACTAACCCTCACACAAAATTAAAGCAAAAAGATATTAAATAAAGAAGGAAGCTTTGGAAAAAAATTATGTTTATGAAAATATTGACTTAGTTCACTTTTTTATAACAAGGAGTCCGCTATATCGAACAAATGGTGAGTAAAATCTTATAATAATAATGAATCTTACGGCTATTTATAAATTTCAAAGAACAATTTATAAATATATATAATGACATTATTTCGACGTTATAAATACCTTGGTCAAAAAAGGTCGTTACTTATTTTACAAAGTGTCTTCAAATTCTTCAATACCACTAGCCATAATTTCCTAAAAACAAGTAAAATACCGATTTCTAAAAATTAATATAATGTTATCTTTCACCAGTAAGAGAAAATGAGAAAGATAAACATATTTCTGGATATAATAATATTTTATCAATCACATTTAGCCTCTAAATAGACAGAAGACAAATTTTCTTTATTTTTTTTCCTTTACTTTCAGTTTTAGGTAGTCCCTTCTATTGCCAACTACACAATTTATTCTTCAAAATAAAAGAACCGAGGTGGCCACGAAACTGGATATTTGGTCAATTTAGGAATTGGTAACTGGGCGGAGTGAGCTTGACGCTAGCTTTTATCCATCAATCTTCTTATAACCCTATATTGATTGACCCTACAAACTTTTTCGCCAAAGCAATTGGCGTTGTTTAAACAAAAGCTATTGTTAGAGAAAGCCATTTTCTCTATTTGAAGGTGGGTTGACACGATCAAAGTACTTTGATCAAAGTAAGCGCGCGCATTCACCAGTAGGGAAATAATTTCAGTGGCGTAGCTACCAAGGGGCTAGGCGGGGCAGTGCCCCGGGGCCCTCAAGCTCAGGGGGCCCTCGAATCCTTGCCAGAAATCTCAATCGAACTGAACTTTTGGAAATTTCTCCCATTTTCAAAATAAATATGACAGGTTGCAACCCCACTTTAATCATGACAACTCAGTTGAGAGAAATTCAAAAGTTATGCCTATGGAATTCCCCTAAATTCTTTCTGTAGGTTGGCAGTGTTGTCANTTCAAGAAATTTGGACGTACTAATAGGATTTGAAAACTTCTCTATATTATCGGGTAAGTGAGAATTTCTTCGCTTATAATCAACTATATGTGCTTTTAAAATGAATATTACGTTTTCTATTTTAAATACTACTAAGTATCACATACTACTAAGTATCACATACTAATATACGTTATACTAATGTATATATGATATCGTTGTGTAGTTAATAGATTATTAGAAATATTTCTGAACTGAATAATCTGAAATAAACGCAAAATATGTATTCCATGCCTAATAGTTCAATTATTCCCGATCTGTTTGTGTATTAATAATTTTTATTAAATTTCATAAAATATTTAATTGAACTGTTTTTCAGCTCTATCATTTTATAGTATAATTTATTGCTTAACTTTTATTACTGTGTAGATGTTAATACAGATTATTTTCTGTCTATATTTAATTAAAGAAAAATTGCTTATAGAGAAAATTTTGTGTCATAATAAGTGTGGAATTTTAAAAACCTGGAGATCCATATGTCTCATTTAGGAATTAGGTTAGTTTTTAATTCTATACTAAAATTCAAATATTTTAAATTTTTATGCATCTCTAGCTTAATATTAAGATCTTTTTATATTGGTTTGATCTTTATACAAATTTGCTTGAGAGTTTTAAAATGTCTGTTTGTTTGACTTTATCTTTTTTGCCAAATGTCTCATGTTTTATTTGACCACATACACTCTAGCTTACTTGACACTAAAATTGTTTCATACAGAGAATGTCTTATTTCCATGTATAATAATTTAAAATTATTTTCATGAGTTATCTTGATGAACTATAGAAAGTTTTGTTGTTGAATAAAAATGTTTAATATTTCTTTAGTCAACTTCTGTTCGTGATGCTTTATGCTATGCTACAGTTATTAAATTGAAATCCTATGGACTTGCTCTTATTTCTATTAACTTATATAATAGAGTAGTAAAAAAATTTTTTTTGTTCAAAGTTACATTATTTGCTGTAAGAGAGAGCAAAAAAATTTTTCTCTTTCTGGAAACATATATTGTGCTCATCAAATTCAAGTTTTGTCTAAGTAAATTGAAACTTTTAATCTATGCATTTTATAAATATTGTTTTAATATTAATGAAGAGTTGATACTAATTTTGTTACTTGATTGCTAACTTCATTCTCCTCAAAAATATACAAATTGGAAGTAACAGTCAGCACGATTCAAGTGCTCATTAATAGACAATTTATTTTTGAGTAGTAGGAAGTTATTTCTTTTCAAATTTAGTAAAGTAGTGACTTTGTGTATTTTGAGCATAGTTTAAATTTATTTATTATTTTTTCTAAATGAATATTCAATAAAGACAGTTTAATTTTATGTGGTGTAGACCATTTTGAAACACTACTATTACTTTTAAACAATTTTACTGAAATATATTAAAAAATTAAGAATTTTTTTATGTTTGAAATTGTGTTAGAATTTCGTGTAAATTTTAAGGGGGAGTAGTAAAAATTGAATTAGGGAAAAGTTTGATATTATTAGTTGATTGTATTAGTTGACAGCGTAGCAAATGTTAATCACTAATTCTAAAGAAGACACAAAGAAATCGAATGATAATGATGTAACAGTATAAAAAAAATAAATCATTTGTAAAGAAGAGATTTACTAACCTTTTATTTATTTTTTTAAATACTTTTAAATAATGTATTTTTATCTCTTATAGGTTGACCGAATTTATTCTTAGTCTCCTCTTCTGCATTTAAAATAGCCTGTATTGTATCACAGCCGGAAATAATTACAAGCTTTCATTTCCTAAAAACCATAAACAGAAGTAGAAAGAGCAGTAGTGAAAGTGTTCTGAGAAAATTTTTTTGACCTTAGGGAACTTTAATCATTTATAACTTTTTATCTTAACTTACTTAATTACCTTAATTAATCTTAATCTTATCAGGACTTTTATAATCTTAATTATGTATTAGTTATTTCTGTTCTAATCATGGGGTTATCGTGGTAGCAATTTTTAAAAAAGAAAAATTTCTTGTACAGGATCTTTTATTGGGTTAATAAAATTTTACTGTGGCCTATTCAAAATTGTTATACAAAAGTTTTTAAATATTTTCTAAACATTAAATCTGAGAAAATTTGCTATTCTTTGTAGATTAAAATTCAAATTATTATATTCTTTGTAGATTTAAATTAAAATTACATTTTTATTATTGAACAGTTCAAGATTCTTTCTTTAAATATAAACTTCTTCTAATTGTTTTATATTGTAAAATTTTAATGTTGATACAGCATAATGTATATGCATGTTACATAAAATATTTATAAATCTTTGTGACAGTTTTCTGCAATCTTTTTGTTCTTATTCTCTTCTTTTTAAGTACTAGAAATTAGTCAAAATAGTTTATAAGTTTATGGGTGAGAGCTTATAAATTTCTGCATTCATAGTTTCAGTGTATTCCATTAAAATTATTCCCTTAAACTAATATGTTTAATTTACTATAAAAATTATTTCATTCAATTTAATATATTGTTCTTTCCCATTTCAAATGATTTGTAATCCAATGATGTTTTTACCAATAAAATTTTTTAAACTAAGAACTATTGCTTGTATGTTGCAAAAAAATAAAATTGGATTTCAGTGGAGTTGTATAATAAATTTTATATATAGTATATTTTTTTGTATTAGATGTAAAAGGCTTCAGCATGCAAATTTTATAGAAATCAATACTTTTCTTGATGTAAAAGTTACTCTATAAATAACACTAATAAACGATGTAGGAATCAAATGGCTAAAGTTAATTGAGTATCAAAGAATGTTTCTAGAACTTTGTGGAAGCTTTTTCTCAAGTTGCTAAAGTTTCTCAGCAAATATCACTGAAATCCAAATTTATTTACATTTATTGAAACAGTCTTTTTGTTTTAACTATTTCAATTCATAATTTAAAATCAACAAGTCCAATGGATTACCAGTAGGACCAGGTTTTACTTTTGATATATGGCGAGGGATGTCAGAGAAGAATGATGAAAAATTAAGGTTTATTTATGTATAGTTTATTTTTTTAAAACCTGTATCATTTTACAATATTAGTTAAAAAATTTGCTTTAAAGGAGCATGATATAGCATAAGCATTTTTATTATAAGTTTGATAATAATTATTACAAAATAATAGCTTGCATAAGGAATATAAATCGAAAAACTTGTTTGAGTAAATTAACATTCTTTAATGATGATGGTAACAAGTGTTATATATATAACACAATAAACACAAAAAAGATTACGAGAATAACAAAGAGAATTACGAAAAAATAATAGCTTTATTTGCTACACAAAAGTTGCAAGTGCAAAGAGTTACTAAACTGTGTCAAAAGTACAGAGAGAAAAATATAAAAATTCATGAAAAAAGAAACTATTAAATAAGAAAAAAAAATTTCATACCTAAAAATAACACATTTTTATTAAAAAGAATAAATTTAAAAGCCGGAAAACAGAAACAATGAAAAAATATAATATATATTTTTGTTTTCCGACTTTTTAAAAAATTGTTTATATAAAAACGATTTTGTAAATATTTAAAACTATTTTAACCCAATTAATTTGAATAATTAAACCAGTAAAGGTATAAGGAGATTAATGGAAACTCCTTCAGTTCTTCAAAAGCAATCAAACTGGTTTTGATATTCTAATTTTTGCATACATAGTGATTTAAAAATGAGTATTTGTCATTTTATTTAAGTCATATTTCAATGTAACGAGAAAGAACATTACTCATATGCGAATAAGGACGGTATTTTTTTTTAATTTTGAATAAAATTATAATAGCCACCAAGGTAGACCATTTATTGGAGAAAGAAAAGACATACAGATGGGAAAATACACATGCTAATACCAACAAAAGATAATTCGACTCCTGTGCCCTTTACATTCAAAGTGTGAAACCCGCATCAGAAACTAAATAAGAAAGAAATATGGAAAGCTACCAGCACTTGGGTGCTTCATGTACGTCGCACAATGGGCTACTGGCGACGGTCTGGGAAACATTCCTGAAGATGATCCGTAGACATACCATCGAAATTTTGATCCTCAGCAGAGGGGATGGCTCCCCTGCTTTAGTAGCCCGACGATCTGCTCGCGAAGTCGAGCACTTTACAGTAGAACAGTTTAACGAGGACCAATACCGCTCGCCCTGGGTCCCTACGCAGGCTGCTCAAAGTGGTCAGTCCACCCGTTTGATGACCGCAGCCAGTGATGCTTGATTGAGGTATTCTACTGGAAACTGTGTCCTTACGATCAGTCCACAGCGGGACTACTAGCACAAGTATTGTACAGAATGTAATGGTAATGGTTCCTCAGAGATCGCTAGCACAATATTCAAAATTTCGCTTTATGTGATCCTCCAAATTCACCTGCTATTTTGCATACAGTAAGAATGGACTTGAAAAATAATTATTTTGAATTTTTTCTGTGATTAACTTCATTGTAACCGCAAACGTGAAGTTAGGATCTAGCTTCCTCACCACACAGTGGCGTGCCAGCCGGGGGGGCAGAGGGGGCAGTCGCCCCCTCTGAAATTTTTGTGAGGGGGCAAATAATATGTTTCGCCCCTCCTGAAATTTAAACATTCGAGAAAATAAAATCAAGTAAAATTCCA